TTAAACAGTACCGGTCCCAATATGGACCCATGAGGGACATGACCTGTCACAAGTCTCCATCTGGACATTATACTGTTGACCAGTACTTCTTATGAGAACTGTAATAACTTAACTCTTGAATGAAAGCTATTGAATAAAAGAACGTCTCAGCTTTCCTTGTCTGGTAAACAGTGTTTGACTGTTTGGATTAGTGGAAGCTTTTGATACCTGAGTGACAGAGGAACTTGTTGGTTTAGATATGCACACACCAGAAAGTAAACCAGTTCATGCTTTGCTTTTCAGATGCACTTGTGTCAAGTGTTGGACTTATGCTGGTTGGACCGTATGATATCCTTGCAGGAAAACACAAAAAAGCAAAATCAAAAGATCTGAACTTCAATCTTCATTGGAGATTCTTCTATGATCCCCCAGAATTCCAGACGATACTTGTTGGGGATAGCAAAACACAGTATCACATGGGATATTTCAGGTATTTTATTTAATATATGCTCTTGCTGGACTATAATTTTGTGTAGCTATTTCTCCTCCATTTTCCACAAGACAGGATTTGAGAACTGTGTGCTGTCGCCAAACAAAATCTTTCTTTTCTGTAATAGGATATTAACACATGGGTTGATACCTTTTATTAAAAAAGATCAAAGACATTGGAGTTGAAGTTTAGGTTTAAATATTTATTAAACTACCTCTCCCAACCCTCCAGAGCACCTTCACTTATTAATCTTTAAGTTTTGCCATGATACTTAGAAGAAAAAGTCAAGCCTTATGAAATAAAGGGAATGTGTATTCTCTCTGCATGTATTGATACAAGCTCCTTTGAAAACCATGCTGTAAGATTTTAGATCTAAGGGTGTTTCTTGTTGGATTTCTGAAGGAGATGGTAGCATGGTGAGGAGGCAAATTAATTTTGCTTTGAAATAGGAGAGATGGACACAGCTTGACTATTTGTATGTACTTTTTCATAAACAGGGATGTGCCAGATGAGCTTCCAGTGTGGGTTGGTGCAAATGAGGCTAAGAAGGGCTGCGTGATTTCACAAGTTGGTGATAATGTCTTTGCCGCAGTCAAGTAAGGTTCATATTTACTGCTATTTATAAAAAGTAGAGTAGAAGAGAAACTAATAATCGGGAGATGTGATGTGGAATAATGCAGTTAACTTTTGTATCTTTCTTTCTCAAGAAACCCTCGCTTACTTTCTGCTCCTGCTAGCAAGTTTAATGGTACTTTCAAAAGCCCTAATAGGCTTCTTGACAGTGTTTTCCTTTTACAAGTAAAATAGATAAGTGTTAATTATCTCATTCTTTAAATATATTGGAAGGAATAGGCTCTATAGGAAGAAAAAATGCCCACTGGGTGCGTTAAAATACTTCATCAGTAAAGAAAGGGCATCTCAAACAGTGGTGAAGGAAATCTAAATATCGTACTAAATGAGTAGCATCTAGCTCTTGTTCTTGCCTACATAAAAGTACATTATTTTTGTATATAATGAATAAATACAAGAAGTACCGTTTCTGACCTAGGGCAGGATAACATTTATATGGATATGTAATTCAATATGATTCACGAAGCTTTACACGATCCTGCATCATGAATGTAAACAACAGATTTCATGATCTGTCAGTTAAAAATGGAAAGCTCTCTAAGGACAGATGCATGTCAGTAAGTGAAAGCACACTGAAGAAAAGCTTCAAAATAACCCTTGTGTAGTGCAGAGTTAAACAAGGACATTTGTTTTGAAAGCACCATGATGAAACTCATAAATATGTATTTATGTGCATGACTGGGATGACAAATAGTGTATACGGCACTGAAGCAGCAAACTCAATTCTTAAGATAGAAAGATGAACAGCTGCTGAGTCCAGGAGAATCTTCAGCACCTGCAGATTGCATAAACTATATTGTTATGCAAATACAGATAGGAAATGCCAAAGTACTGTCTGTGCCAAACTTTTTTTCTTTCTTGTTGGTAAGAGGCTTGCATTCCCAAGTCTGCATGTATAAATAAACAAACCCATGGCTGCTAATCTTCATTATAAGATTTGGAGGCTTAGTGATAGCAGGCTATTCACTTGTTTGTTTTCTGTTAAGCTCTTTTAAGACATGTTTCTTCTGTCTGCAGATTATTTTTGTCAAAGAAACTTAAGGAAGTGACCGATAAAAAGAAAAATGCTATTTTGAAAGACATAGATGAAAAACTAACAAGAACAGCGAAAGAACTGGGTTATTCTCTGGAACAAAAAACCATGAAGATGAAACAGAGAGATAAGAAAGTATGACTTTCCTGATCCACTGGAGAGAACTAAGTTCTGTTAAACTTATTTCATTTGCTTGCCTGCTTTTTTTATTTTATTTTTTTATTTTTCCTCCTAGTCAGTAAAGATGCTTCACTTAGAAATTTCCGGAGCTAATCAGCTCTCTCTGTAGAACTTCAGGAGAGTGTGTTCCAAATAATAGGATTAAATCAAAACACTTTACTCTTGTAAACCATAGCTTGGCATTCAATTAAAGGAAAAAAAAAAAAAAACCCAATAGAAGGGAAAACTAAAACAAATGGGGAGTATGGAGAAAACTGCTTCAAAGTGAAGATTCATGTAAACAGTTGGGTTGGATCTATTGGAAATGAGAACATTAAGGATGATACGGTAATTAAAAAACCTAGTAAGAGAGGTTTTTTGCAGACCTATCAGAAATAATTATGGTAGGGAGTGACTAAACAAATGTAGTACAGTGCTACACAAGTGGCTACAAGGATTCCTAGATTTCAGAACTTGGCTGAAGTGGAGTTTCCAGTTATTTTAAACTTCAGTACTTAAAAGTAACTGCTGCATACTTTAAAACTAAGTTGATGTCCCGGAGCCTGGACACTATATTAGGTTTGACCACCAGCAGTCAGGTATTGATGTTGTTTAGTGAGGTGAGTGGTTTTATGTCACAGTATTGACTTATAGTGCTATATTCAATTTCCTGTCTTTCCATTTAGGTGGTGACCAAAGCATTTCATGGAGCAGGCCTAGTTGTTCCTGTAGACAAAAATGATGTCGGATACAGAGAACTTCCTGAAACAAATGGTAAATATCTTGTTTACTAAATTCTTCTGCTTTATTTAAGTAAACAACCTTCAGTCACACAGCTACTCTGCAAAAACCAAACTGCTTTCAGTTTCTTACTTGAAGAATATGAGCTGTGCAAGTGAAAGGCAGAAGTCTTAACCATCACACTTGAGCTCAAAGCATTTTCTTTAAATGAACCAGATGAGAATCAATGAAACATGCTAAATCTGAAATAATAATTCCTGAAGTAGTACTTTAGACGACCCTCTCTTTTGTATTGGCACAGCCATGCGGGAAGTAGATCCAAAGAACTGATCTAAGATCCAAAGAACTGATCTACATTCAGGGATTTGTGGGTTTATTTCTTATCCCCCCTCTTCTCCCAGTGGTGTTCTAACCAGAATCAGTTCCTTGATGCAAGTTTACCACACAAATGCTCGTCTCTATATGGGGAACTGAGACGGATGGGCATGGGGCAAGAATGAGCAGCAAAGGGAAGGGGCAAGTTTTTTCACCAGCAGCTCAGGGTGTGCCCACTTAGTCTTCATGTAAGCGTGACACACAGGTGTGTTTTTGCCACAAACAACTACTGTGCAATATTAAATTTCTTTATTTAAACATCTAAATATTCCTGCTTTTGTTTTTTGCAGCTAATCTTAAAAAAATTTGTAAGGCCATTGTTGATGCTCCTACTGATGATGAGAGACTGAAGGCCTTTGCACCCATTCAAGAAATGCTCACCTTTGTTCAGTTTGCTAATGATGAATGTGACTATGGAATGGGATATGAACTGGGTATGGACCTGTTTTGCTATGGATCACATGTAAGTACTACAGCAATCATACTGCACAAAATTATGCATTATTTTATGCTTGCACTGGGAGTTGTTCTGTGTTGTAGGTCTTTATTCCCAACTCTATTGCATAGTTATCCCTAGGAATCGTGAAAGTCTACAAGAATATTCTTATTTCTGAAGACTGTTAAAAAGTCACACTTACGACACCATTCCATGTTGAATTTAAAATTGCTTGTATGAAAGCACAATCCTGCAATCCAGAAGCATTTAAACAGCGTTTAACTGTTATGATTTGGTGTGCATAATATGAGGAGTTGTCATTAGACTCCTAAAAAATGCAGAATGTCTGATTCAGATATACTGAATAGCTATAGCCACCTATCTGCAGCTACCTGTATGGGCGCAAGCACTCATGTTCAATGGGATCAAGAAACAGACTGGTGTTTGTAGTAACCCCAGCTGAAAAAATGGAATCTAAGTCAGTTGCCCACCTATGCTGCCTATATGGCTGTGTAAAAGATCTCCCACCAGCTGGCTGCATCTCTTAAATTTCTAGTATCTCTCTTTCTGGTTCTGTGTTAACAAAGAATATCATAAATAAGCTGATTGACTTACTAGCACTTAATCACACGTAAAGATTCTACTTCAGGCTTTTTGTTCCATATTAGCCACTGCCCTGCTGATGAAAAGGGTCATGTCTGTAATAAATCTATGGATAAGAAATTACATATAAAGAAGCTTCAACATAAGTGTAATATGAGCAGATGGTCATAGAAACACCTGTGCAAAATAGCTTCTTTTAGTAAAAACAGTATTGGCTGAGGGGTGCTCCAAAGCATCATGTAGAAAGATAAAAATCTTGCAGTACTAAATGTAGGCCCAGAAGAGTTGTGCTAAACACAAGTTAAAATATTTAGCCACTGAAACGAAGGAAAATTTGCTGCTCTGTTCATATGCTGTTAAATTACTAATGTGTTTCTTAGATTTCCTGCCCTGCTAGTGTAAATTCCCTACAGCATCTGAGAATGTGTTGTATTTTTCTCTGATACCAGGCTAATTTAGGACCCTTCTTTCAGTGACTGCTGCTTCAGCTGCTTAATTCCTTCCTACATCTGGAAGGGCTGTGAAGGAAATAGTTACTTCCAGTTGGCTGAGTAGGTGGAGGCAAAACCCCATCTTTCATGCTTCGTGCTTCTTAGCACATGAGATTAACCAGACAAACTTGTGCAATGAGTAATCATGTCTTTATGGCATTGTGGCATGGCCTGATACCTATCTTGTGCAGCAATTTGAAAAAGCTATAATTTTGCAGCTGTTTTCTGAAAATAGAAACCTTACTTCATTTTCTAGTTTAGTAAACAGAAAGGAAAAACAATGGCTTCACACATAAATAACACCCCAGTTTAGTCCCAGCATTTTTGCCTGTCTGTAGATGCTTACAGCTGCTTTCTGGTTCTGACTAGAGCTCTGCGTGCAGGGCCAGAAGAAATACTGACACTTCATCTGTAGCCTGAGACACAGAAAATGACTTAAACCTCTTCCCCTTCATAGGAGAGGTATAATGGGCTTACGTGTACAATAACGATAAGAAATGCTAAATATGCTCTGACTTTTATACGTTTGAACCACATTTTTAAGTGGTTACTCTAAGTACCATCGTGATCCCCTCGAGCTGTGGAGTATGACAGGACGTGGGACTTCAACCGCAGGCTGGACGACTCCATGCCTTAACAATAGCTATTATCTCTTGCATTGCTAAAAACAGATTTCCATCTCTGGCAGCAGCAGTTCAGGTAACCCGGCCTGACCTTGCTGCTGCTGCAGATGTAGTGTGGGTACATGCTCGGTCCCTTCAGGGCTGGCCGCAGCAAGCATGTTGCATGCGGCAAAGCCTAGTGGTGACTACTCTCGCTGTGTAAGCAAAGCCCCTGACCCCCCCGGGCTGCTCTTGTTTTCCCTCTTGCCTGCAGTACTTCCACAAGACGGTGGGCCAGCTGCTGCCCCTGGCTTACAGCCTGCTCAAGAGGAACCTCTTTGCCGAGATCATCGAGTCGCACTTGGCCAACCGGCGGGAGGAGAAGGTGGACCAGCTCCTGCCCTGAGCCGGGCGGCAGGGCCCCTACGGGGCCGCAGCAGGGCGGGCGTCCTTGCGTTCTCGGGCGTGGGGTTTTCTTTTGGGGGG